CGTCCTGATTACACCACCACCTCCACCTGCTGCGTCTGGAAGTGTCATCCTCACTGAAGTGTCCTGTTTTAAATCCATAACCGACCAATCAGAACGCAGTAACATGCATGATTTATGTAGAAAGTAAGATTTTCTTACAATGAAGTGAGGAGTTTTAATCCTGACTTACTTTGTCAGAGGTGTGAAAGGTTCACAGCAGGGGTTGAACGTACGCCCAGGCTCATGGGCACCTGGGCAGTGATTAAATGGGGAGTTGAGGCATCTGCTGGAAAAATCAGCAGCGCTTTGAGCAGGTTAACAGGAAATGGAGCGACTCTTCTTTCAGGGTATTAAACTCTAGATTAACCCTCTCAAGGCAGGCGTTGCAGATTTGCAACAGTTAAAAGCTAACAACCTGATTACCCCACATAGATATTTTATGGCTTTTTTTTTACTCTGAAGTACCACTGCAGGTATTCTTTTGTGCATTAGCAACAAAGACTGAGAGGGTTAATTAAACAGCTGAAAGGAGTTTCAATGCCACAACTTCTTTCAGTGGAGAGGTGACTGGTTCAAACAGTTTAGTGGTTAATGTGTCTGCCTCACCAGAGAAGGCTCCAGTTGACTCCCAGAAGGAGACCCAGTTATCCTCTGGGATTATGTCAGGAAGAGAATAAAACATGAGGACTGACCTGCTGTCAGGAGCCTGAAGAGGAAGCTGCTGCTTTAAAGGTACAACTAGAAGTTTTGTTTGTAGACACACCTACAATCAGTTAGACCTGGACTATGGGACGAAGCTGAAACGGCATCTGGCGGCTCTGAGACGAGAGGGACCTTTCTGTTGTGACCGCTGCACCAATCCTCAGACTGACGGCTCAGAAAGCTTCATTTAAGCTGAATGATAACCTGGCACTAAGTAACATTATTTTGACATGGGTGACCTTTGACCTGTTACTACAGTTTAAAACTGAGGCTGTATCCCAATTCAGGGTCTGCAGCCTTAAAGTACGCAGCCTTAATG